AGTATGAACAATGGGTTGGGAGCAGCCCCTGCCCTGTGTTAAAGTTTAATAAAATTGTGGTCTGCTGCTTAAATCCATCCATGTATCTGTCCTCATTTTGCCGCTGTGTCTGTATGAAGTGCTCTATGCCGTCTGTACTTTCAAGAACAGTATCACATTTGGCCACAACAGCTTCTGAGGCAAAGGGAATAAATCATTCTCTTTCCTTAGCTCATCATAAGCCTGCTGACCACTCCAACTACACCCTACAAAACAAATTAATAAATCCATAGACCTCAGGGGTGATTTTCAAAGGCACAAAAGTCAGTTACCTGTGTAACTACCATTGACAGTAATAGGAGTAATTGAAAGTCAATGGGAACTAAGTGCCTAACCGTCATTTGTGCATTTGAAAATCCCCGTTTACCCTTTGCTTTGTAAATACCTAGAGGCAAAGCCCAGCCTGTGATATGTGGCTGTGTGTTGGGAAGGAAATTGGAGGTCTGAATGCTTCTCACTCCTCACAAGCAGTAGAATCCCTAGCTAGGGATCAGAGGACTGTCAGGAAGCCAGCTTCCATGTCAATATAACATAGCATCAGTGGCAGCTAGGGCACACAACTTGGTCCTCAGCCAGCTATCACGTACACTGGAATCTGTAGCATGTTTGCTGGTTGTGTGTGTGCATGTGTGTACTCGGGTGTGTATTTGTTCTTTTTCAAAAGTGAGCAGTAAGGTATCACCTGCAGCATACCCTGCCCCCCAAGTCTCTCTTCCCCCAATCCATTTAGGCCTCTTTGGGCAAGGAGGCTCTTGTAACAAATACTATGTATAATCCTGCTCCACACATTCACCCTTGCATAGGTCCTTCATAGAAAACTAGGATTTCACCATTTATCTTTTATATAATTGTCCCTGGCTCTAATTTTTGCATGCACAAAATTGCCCAGTGCAGCCCAATACAAACAAAAGATATTTCTCTTGGAATGATAAACTGTTCTCAATATGCTCAGCCTTTAGAGCCAATATTCATATTTGAATGTGAACACTGGCTCTGACCCAAAATCAGGCATGAATACAAATAGCAGTTTCTGTGTCCTGCCCTACTTAATATTGTTTTTCACTTTTTCTAAGATAATCTTTCTTCTTTCCATGTTATCTATATTACACAGATAAGACCAATCTCTGGAAAAGGAAATTTTGTTTTGCTGTAAATCTGTTTTCTGCAAACTTTCTGCATTAGTTCAGAAACCTGTTCTAGAAATATCCTTTCACCAGGTTCAGGTCAAAGAAAGAATGGACTGGTAGTAATAGCTTAGTACATTTTTGGCCAGTCAAGGGATATAAACTTGTTTTTGTTTTACCAGGAAGGTGTTCCATTATTATTATTTAATTATTATTATTATTTAAACTACTAAAGAAAACTTCACACTCAAAAGAGGTGAACTCCTTATATAGCCTCCTCATACAGCTTTTCTCAATTTATCACCTCATATCCAGAGAAAGGATAAGCTGACTAAAAGAACAGACTTACAGAAGCTATATTTACAAGCATGTGAACAAAATGTCAAGTCTCTCTCTCTCTACTCCAGCTTGGGGCATTGGAATTAAGAAGCTGTGCTCTGATGGGGATGTTTAACAGAGCATCAACCATGGTAAAAGTCATAACTATATTAACCATATTGCCATGAAAAACATAAAATGTTTGGAAAAAATATGAATTTAAACTTTCTTCCAGTTTTTCACTTTTTGCACATGGGCAGAGACTGAGAATATGAATGAGGAAGCAGAAGACAGAAGGGAAAGAATGGGGATTTAATTGAGCCAGCTCTTGGGCTCTATCAGTAGATCAGGCTTCTGAGGGTATGTCTACACTACAATTAGACACCCATGGCTGACCCATGCCTGCTGACTTGGGATCACAGAGCTTGGGCTAAGGGGCTGTTTAATTGTGGCGTAGACATTCTGAGTCTGGCTGCAGCCCAAGTTTTGTACCCTTTCACCTTGCAGGATCCTAGAGTCCAAGCCTGAACATCTACACCACAAGTGAACAGCCCTTTAGCCTGAGTCAGCTGGCATGGGTCAGCCATGGGTTTTTAATTGCAGTGTAGACAAACCCTCAGAGCAACAAGAAGAAAATGCGGAGGAACTACAAAGGCCTTAGAGAAGAGGATCTGACTCTCCCATAGGAGACAGGCTGGGTCTTCGTTCTCCTAAATTCTCGTGATTTTTCCTGTCCTACTCCTCTTAATGGCCAATTATGCAGGACAGATCCTTTCTTTCATTTACCTGCAAAGTGGGGGAAGAGAAGGGGAGAGCGATAAGAAACCTCAAGAATCGAGGAGGAAGGGAACCCAACTTTTTCCCACTCCAACAGCTTATAGTACTGTTGCATATAGTACTGTTTTCTCTGGGAATCCAAATCTTTTAACTTCTTCAGTTTTCTGCATTTCCCCCATTCCTGAATAGTTTAGTCTCCATCTGTAAGAGGGTCCCTGTCTGTCCTAGAGGAACACCTGTAGAGAAACCTAAGAACCTTTGCAGTGAGAATCGTTGGACACACAGTGTAAAATATGGAGGCATTAGGAAATTTTCTGCCAAATTTCTCTCTCTGCAACATAAAAGGGGAATATTTCCCACATGTTGCAATGTCATGTTTTTCACTATATACAAGAAAAGTTACATGTGATTGCTATGTAGACACTTCATCAATATTGGATTTTTACTGAGCCTGCAAAGTGTCTGTAAAATAATTATTTAGTACAAAAACAAAACCACTAGTAACAAGAAAAGTAGCTCCTTTTTATTTGCAGCTACTATTTCATTAATTGCTATCTTAATGATGACATTTATCTACATTAAACATTCTTCAAAGAGATCCCCCATATAAAGTGTATGGAAGGCACATAATTCAGGAACTACTGTACTTATGTAAACAGCAATGATATCTATCTGTTCTGGTGTAGATCCACAATTTATTTTTTATATTTGAGCAATATCAAGACATATGCTTATAGTCTCCGTTTAAGTAACTGCATTACCACCATAGTTCAGAATCACTCCTACTTATTGTAGCTGCAGTGCAGGACAGCCTATGTAATATGAGTCTATATCTATGAATTCTAATAATATAAAGATTTTTCCTCTGAGGGTTGTAAATTCTATATCTATTTTTTCACAGTATAATACAGAAAATGCTACTGTTCAAACCTGCTGCATTCTGGGGCCCCAAGGATTTTTTTAATTCAACCTTTTCAGATTTCAATTCAATTACCATGGTTCCCATCAAACAATGTAGCTTACACAAAGAAATGCCTACACGGCATAATGGTAAAAACAATCCAACAGCTAATTTTGTCCCCCACAGGGATTCAAGCATATAGGGGACACGCTGCATGCAGATCTCCTCCTTCCAGGTCCCATGGAGGCCCCCTGCATGGATTCTCAGAGCATTCTTTCCCCCTTTGGAGCGTTTTTTTTCCCGATAATAAACGATCTGGGGTGTTATTAAAACCCATGGACCTAATTGTGCTGCTCTTAGTCCTTACTTGGGTAAAATATCCATTGCTTTCACTAGGAATGTTGCTTTAGTAAGAAAATAATAAATTCTGTAGTATTAATAAATTATTAATACTTAATATTTGGCATATGTGCATCAGTTTTATTTTATTTTATGTTGTTGTTTTAATTGAAAGTGCTCCACAATCGTTAATAATTCATACTCAAAACATCCCTGAGAAATAAATGTTATTGCCATTTTACTGCTAGGAAATTGAAATATAGGCAGGTTAAATGGCTTGCCAACTCGTATTGAGACAGAATTAGAACTCAGGTGTTCCTAGCTCCAGATGCTATACTCAGACCATGCCCCTCTGTTTAGAAAAGGAACATAAATCTCGAAACAGAATAAAGCATTAAAAACATGCATTTTTACTCTGAATACAAACACAACCTGAAAAAAGCTACTTGGTCACAAATTGTACATACAAATTTAGTGATAATAATCAATGAAAGCAAAAACAATGGGCTGAACAACACTCAATTGTAAATAATTACAAAAATATTCACAGTCCATTACTGTGATTGAATTGAAAGTGCTGTGTTTGTAGCATGCATAGCATTATTGACATCTGTATCTCTTTTCTAGCCTTATGTGCATTCCAAGCTTCTAATGTATGTTAAATGTGCACTGAGAGAAGAACAGATCCCTTGATCTTGTAACAGGAAATACCGTTAATCTTTGGTCTTTAGTGTCCTATTTCAACTACAGTAATCTTTCAAACTTGTTAAAAGAGAAGAACCTTAAAGGTGTTGCATCAGCTGCACTATTCTTTAAAGATCTAATCTTCTTGACTTAACACAGCCTCAAGGCTGATGCACTCCTACTCACAGAAACCTGTATAGTTCTTTTAATAGAGGAAATATAATTTCTCAATTTTACTTTCAGTTTACTTCAACAGGATAATGTACTTACCCTGAATCCTTCAAATATACTAAATATACTAAATGCATGTTTGGTCCTTTCCATTAATATTCTTGGTGAAAATGTACTTCTTGTTCTGCTGCTTGTCATTTATCCTCCCAAAAGAAAAGCCCAAATTTTTTGGGTGGAGACAATCAGTAGATCCCAAACCCATTAAGAATAAAAAAAATCAAAGTATATAAAAGTTAAAAATAAAAATATATATTTGATATAGTGGGCAAAGAGAATCCCCAATTAGGATCTTGGATTGGCATAGTTTATCCAACCTGGTTAATTTCTAGCAATATCTCTAACAAAGTATGCTTTTCCAAATTATTTATTGCTGTCAGTCTATACAGATTATTAGCTACTCTTCTGTTTCAATCTTTTACAAATAGTAAAAAGAGAATAATTGAACAGTTTCCATTTGAATTACCCTTTGCTTTCTAATTACTGTTTTAGCCTGAATATTTAGGAGTGAATGAACGTATACATTGGTTTATACTCTATATAGGTTACACACAGTGCCTTGTGATGGGAATTAATTGAAAAAGTCATACCTGTGGGCACAAAGTCTCTATGTGATTAGCTGCCATTTGGACAATTTTAATTCCATCTTCATTAGTTGATAGTGAACAAGCAAGATTAGCCACCTTAAAGAAAAAAAGTATTTTAAGTATGCATTCACTTTCATAAAAATAAATTGCATAAAAATAAATATTGCTAAACTGAAAGAAATCTATGCAAGAAGCATTTTGATAAGTTAATTTGGCAAAGAACATGTTGGAACAAGGACACTGTGACTATGAGAGAAAGGAGGTGGGGAAAAAAGGTAGACATAAGAAATCTTATGAAATTTTCCTGATTAGGGTCTAGTGCACAATGGCAACTGAATACTAGATTTTTCTCCAGAATTAGTGCTGGGGATAACATTTGTCCCCAATGGCATTAGGAAGCTTGAAATTGCATGAGGTTTTAGTTAGCTAGCTTGTGGCTGGTTTTATTATTTCTCAGAGGCTTCTGTTTATGTTGCCGTCCCATTTTCCCCTGCTTTCAGATTCCTAAACATTAAAAAACATTACTCTTGATCTGGCACAGTATGAATAGGTGGAGTGGCCTGTTTGACAGACACAGTGGACTAAGTTCTGTCTACACACAGTTTTTGTATTACTATAACTACTTCAGTGTGGGGGAAGGCTGATTTTACCAGAATAGTTACACCAGTAACTCCTAGTGCAGACATGGTGATATCAGTATAAAGGTGCCTTATGCCAGTATAGTTTATTTATTTTACTATTTGTCATAGGGCAAATGCAGCCCCCTCTTCCATCGGTGGTTCCACTGCCCAAGAGGTGTGGCTGGATGTGAGAGAACAAGGGGCACACCTGTCCCTGCTGTGCATGGCAGCACACATAAGTGGAGGCTAGGCATGGGGACAGATGGAGCTGTGGGATCTGCATCCGCATGGATCCTCCCATTCCCAGCCTCTAGAGGTCACAAAAATCCCACATTGGCTATTTCACCCATTAGGCTGCCACAAAATGGTTTGGTTTCATATGCATCTGTCCAACGTCCACCCTGGCTACTTGGGCCAGGGGCTGGCCTATGAAATGCAGCCTATGCAACGCTTTACATAGCCATAATAAACATAACCCTTTAATATATAGTAATATTTTACAGTTACTTAGTGCTTTACATATCGCACATGATGTAAAAATATGAACAATTTCATCTTCATTTACCAACTTCCTGGGATGTTATTTCTATAGAAGATGAGTAAATTAATCATGTTCTATTACCAGTGGCTATTATTATCCTCATTTTACAGTTTAAAAAAATTAAACAAAAGTTAATTAATTTGTCCAAGGTCACATAAACAGTCTTGCCAGTCTATGCATTCAAAAATCATGAGTAAGGCTCCCAAAATAATGAGATTGGTTTAAAAATCATGATTTTTTTAAAATAATAATTGCTGGGTTCTTTTCATTTGCCTTTGGGTTTCTGAGTTTTTAAGGACCACATTTTCAAGCTTCCTTCCACAATGAGATCTAGAAACTTAATATTAAAAAAAAAATTAAGCTGAGACATTAAGAAAAACACCCAAAATCACAAGACTTGCAAATCACAAGACTTGGCGACAATGCTAAGAGTTAGTGTAATAACTGGAGTTGTAATTCCTGCATTCCAGTCTCATCCTCAGTGTACTAATACAGGGCTGCCATTTAGATAAGATATACTGTACAGAATGCACAATCGCTAAAAAGGTTCTATGAAAACTTCATGGATAATTTTTTGAAAACATCTGCTCAACTTGCAGCTGGAGTCAAAAAAGCTAAAAGAATGTTAGGAACCATTACGAAAGAGATGGATAATAAGACAGAAAATATCATAATGCCACTATATAAATCCACAGTATGCCCATACCTTGAATACTGCAAGCAGTTATGGTTGTCCCATCTCAAAAAAGTTATATTTCTGGAAAAAGTATAGAGAAGGGCAACAAAAATGTTTAGCGTATGGAATAGCTTCCATATGAGGAGAGAATAAAAAACGAACTGTTCATCTCAGAAAAGAGATGACTAATGGGGGATATGATAGCGGTCTACAAAATAATGAATCATGTGAAGACAGTGAATAAGGAAGTGTTATTTACCCCTTCACATAACACAAGAGCCAGGGGTCACCCAATTAAATTAATAGGCAGCAGATTTAAAACAAACAAAAGGAAGTACTTCTTCACACATTGCATAACCTGTGGAACTTGTTGCCAGTGGAAATTGTAAAGGCCAAAAGTATAAGTGGGTTAAAAAAAGAGTTAGATAAGTTCATGGAGAATAGATCTATCAATGGCTATTAGCCAAGCTGGTCAGGGACATTATACTCTGGGTGTCCCTAAACCTCTGACTGCCAGATGCTGGGACTAGACAGCGGGGGATGGATTGCCCTTTCTGTTCATTCCATCTGAAGCATTTGGCACCAGCCCCTGCCAGAAGACAGGATACTGGGCCTGATGAACCATTGGTCTGACTCAGTATCACCATTCTTATGTTCTTAGCTATAGGTAGCATCATAAAAATGTATAGACACTTTATTAATTCTAAAAAAGGGCTCACTTTAAAAAGTTGTTTTCCCTTGTTGGTTTGAAGTCAGGATTCCTTTGCAGTCATGTTTGACAACCAATACGTGTAATTATATACTATTTTTTAAAATAATTGACTTTTTGTTTGCCACACACATTGAACTGCCTATGTGGGCTAATGTAACCACTTTTCTAGTATATTACATTCACTGGCACTGCATTAATATACCACTGCATATAAAGAAACATTCCAAAAGGTTAAGTGCAAAAATTATAGATCTTTTCCTAAAGCAGTAAAACAAAAATACAATAAAAAACCAATGAAATTTTCCTTCAAATTAAAATAAATCCTCTTAGCATCATTTCCTTTCTGCTACATGGTCCCACGTGTTTCCAGTTTTATTTCATATTTTACAGGAAAGTTAAGAAAACTATGTTTAATATAGGATCCATCTTCAACACATGTATGGTGGGGAAATCCTCACAGCTTTTAAAGCTGCAAGCCTCAAGCCCCAAACCCCAATTCCCTGGTACAGCCAAGGACTGCACAACGTGAGTCTGGATGGGAAGTGCAAAAGTATCTTCAAGTAAGTTTTTTCCCCCTTCCCCATTTTGGGGGCGTCAGTGCTGTCCAGGCATAAATTTGATCAGCCTGAAAGCTGACTCGATCTGTGCCAGTGGACAGCAGCCACTATAGACCATAACAGCAGCTAAGAATTTGTCAAGCATATGTTACCATGGCCATACTCATCTTGCTATGCAAAAGGCCAGAAAGGAATGTCTGGCCTTCCTGTAGAAGTCACTGTGCTTCCTCTGGGTCCAAGGATGCTGATAAACATTCTTATAATTTGGTATGAGAATGACCTCTAGAGCCAGAAAGATTCTATTTTATCTGGAATTCAGGTACCAACACATTTTAACATCATATTTGATATAGAATATTTTATGGTCATGTGCTTCCTCTGTTGGCTCTTCAGTCACAACAAGCATTTCCCTTGAGTTGAGCAAATTCATAACAGCATCCATAATGATGGTAAAGCACAAATAAAGAATAAGGAAATAAACAGCAAGGAACTATATAGGCTTGTGTTCCACTAGGAACAGAAAAATATGGCTGTTTTGCATGTGGAAAAGGATAAAATTCACAGGACAAAAACATATTTTGTAAGAGTCTAAGAGGTATTTAAAAACAATCAAGTACTAGAAAAAATAGTTGTATTCCTTGTATTCAACTATTTTATTCCCTTACAACTTTTCTGCTAGATAATTGTGATTCCTGCCAATGGAGCTATACCAAAGGTGAATTTGGCACTTCATCATTCATTTTGACTAACACTAGGAAATCTATTACATTTCTTTTTAGCAAAATGGGTAGAAATGTCTATGACTCT